ACAAAGTTTGTTGTTGACAAGTTCAATTTAATTCAAAGGCAAAGCCAATAACATTCCTCACTAAAGTTCGAGGTTCAAAGATTTCTGAAGATGTTTTGATAATTCTCACTATTTTTGTAATTCTCGCACTATTTAATTTTTAAGTTGTCTCTCAGAAGAAGGTGCCCTCTGAAGCCCCCGCCATGTTCCACTCCTGAGCTTGCGAGTCTTCAGTGGGGGTACAATAAGTGTCCAATAACTGCAGACCAATCCCCCTGATTGAATATCCCAAAGAAAGCGCTCTTGAATGAATGAAGAATGAAGGGGCTACTCACAAGTTTATTGTTTTCCCAAAAAGCAGTTTTAATTCGTTTCAAGTAGAATGATGCCGTTGAGACTGGCATGGCTAGAAGTATTGTCTCAGGTACCAAGATCATATCCAGCCATGTCGAATTGTTTCTAAATGTGCAAAGCAAATTGTTAGCAAATTTTTCTCTGAAAAATAGTGCTCGCAATAGCATCTGTTTAAGTCCATCAGTTCAGTGAGACAAGGACAATTGCAGCCGAGAAAAACCACGATCGGAAGATATAGAATTTCATCGATGGTAAATTTCGTTTTATCGTGTCTACGCGATATTCGAAAATTTCTTCTCTCTCTCGGTTCTTCTCTCCACCTTCCTTGGGGGGAAGGTCATACCATAAAAATAGTGCATCGAGGTATAATTTTCGATCACCTCGGGAAACAAAGTCGAATTTGAATGGAAATTTTCACGTCGCCTCTATTTTGCGCGAAATTGACTATTATCAAATAACGCGTTATATCATCGTCGAAAACAGAGCGCGGACGATGCACCACTACCTAACCTAACCTGCGCGAGCAAGGGGAGAAATGTATCGAGCGCGATCACCAAGTCTGCATGTGAATTTCTGCACAATTTCCCTGGCTTAGCTAGAAACCTGCATTGTGATTTTGCATCGATTTCCATCCAACCGTTTGAATCCTCGTTCGTTCTTTTTTTTTCGCTTTGAAACCATGGAATATTATGACGTGTGGTTTTCGTAAGATGTATAAAAAGATTTTTATACAATATTTAGAAATATAGCGCGAAAAAGATTAAAAGTAAATATTACGAGAAGAAAATAAGTTAATTGTTTAATATGAATTTTTGAATCGATAAAATCTTTTTATACATTAAATATATTGACTTGAAATAATATATATTACGTAATAACGGGAAAAAGTAATTTTTAGGATAAATGTTACTATTTATGAAAAAAAAATTCTAATGAACATAAGTTGATTGAAAATCAATATTTCTGAAATTAAAAGCAATTTTTTATCGTTATGGAAGCGATTGGTTATAAAAAATTATATATCTTAGAAAAAACGTTTTTCTTTTTATTCTCTTATCATAGCAAATTGAAAGAATAAATATATACATATTTGCAATATTTCAAATGCTAAAGCAGTAAACAACTAATATTGCTGTATATTTATTCAAATATTCATAAATCTTAGCATAAATAGATGAGTTGTAATAAAATGTTTTTTATCAATATTATTTAAAATTCCTGGAAAATAGAAAAAAGGGATTTTTATTATATCACATTTCCAAATCTTTTTTTTTTATAGTTAATATTATATAAATTTCTCATATTGCATTCTATATTTAATCCAATCTTTTTAATATTAATCACTCTTTATAAATAAATTTGACAATCAAAATTGGTATTTCAATGACAAACGTCTAGAAACGTCTTTTACGTTAAAATCATCAATCTTTAACCATGGATCAAAATCATTCCGGTAAACGTTTGTAACCTAATTGTTTGTAACAGGAATGATTGAGAAACAAAATTCAGATTCTGTATACGAAACACAGGAAATGCATTTCTGGAATGCTTAATGATGATGAACGAGCATAGTTATTATCATGGGCTAGTTCGTGGCTTAACGACGGGCAAAAAACCATTCGTTCAAATTAAGAAGTTGATTCGGATTTAATGATGTTTTGTTTAGCTAGTCGGATGCGTTTCTCCCTCCTCCCCAACCTTTCTCAATTTCCTCTTCTCTTTTGAAACCATTTTTTTTTTTTTTTCATGTTTCATACCATAACTTGAACGAAATTATATCGTTCACACTTTGATATTTAGTCTTTATTAAAAGCTTCAATTAAAAACAGCTTTTAAATCCGTATATATTTAATTAAAAAAAAAGACAGAAAAATCTTATAAAAGATTTCTTCAAACATTTCCAATTTGAAAATAAAAAGATTTATTACTTACACGTTCTCGTTCAATTTTGTTAAAACTGACGTTGAAATAATTTTTTTATATTATATAAAAGTCATTTTACGAATTTTTGTCGTTCCTTCGAAATATATGGCCAATGTACGATAACGAATGATTTCCTTTGTTCTCGATATCAACGATAAGTCAGAGGATCCCTCGTCAAATGCGTTGCATGTTCTCACGAGTATGTTACACACATGTAAGCAGTTGGATAGGTGTGTATGGGACCGGTCTGTGCAATGTTAGCTAAACTCTCGTTACCCTGGGCGCCCGTGTTGGCCACGCGCAATCCGCTTTAATCCTTGCAAAAAGACAAGCCAAGGCTCAAGTGGATCAACCTAGCATTGCTCGGACATTGCGCAGTGGTACATCCATACCAATGCCGTTAGTCGACGACTCGGTGTACAGATTAACGTGGATTTATTATCGTCCTAGTTTTCTAACGTGACGTCATGTTTCACGTTTCATTGAATCAATATTTTTCGTGTTTTTTTTTTTTTTTTTTGGTTAATCGATAAATTAATAATTAATTTTTATGATTAGAATTTCTATTTATAATTATAATTCTTAGACTTAGATATATTAGATTTGTTAGATATGTAAAAACGACTTCTTGTATAAAGTTTTAGTGGATACATCAATTATATATTATGCGAAGAATATTGACTTTTAATTTCTTTATAAAAAAAATTTGAAAATCAATTTTTTCAAATTGATGATTATTTTTGAATTTATGTAAGAATTAATATTAGATATCATTTTTAAAGTAAAGTAACATTATTATTAGAGTCTATAAAAAATTATTTTATGTCACATCAAATTTATTTTACATAGGAAAATATTTATAGTTATACTTTATAAAACAGAAAATTTTTATATCTTGTCATCAATTTTATACGAAATATTTTATAGAAAAAAAATTTATTTAGTTTTTATTCAAAAGAAAAAATTTTAATTTATCAGAATATTATATAATACAACTTATAAAATATTATAAATAAAATGTGAACAAATATGTTTAAATTCTTTGTATATATTATGTATGTAAATTCATATTTTAAATTTAATTCTTTTCTTTTATGTCAAATATTTTGTTTTATTTTATATGAAAATATTATTATTTTCTTAATAAGATTATTATTCCTTTTATAAATAGAATATTATAAAATTAAAATAATTGATAAAATGGAACCTGTAAATAATTAAAGTGACTGACAAAATGAAGTCTATTATATATTATCTAGTCACGTTTTATCTTATCTTAAGACGTAGCAATTACTTCTATTATTAACGTTGGATGAGTTTTAAGTGAAAAATTAATTTGTTTAAATTGGCAATCGTGGCACGTAGTTAGCTCGATAAAAGACAACATGATTAACTTGTGTCTAGGAGGATTTGAATGAGGTCAAGATCATTTTTCTTTTGTAACTTTGTCTTTCAACAAATAACTTTTCAAGTATACGATAATTGAAGAAATCAAGTGACTCGAGACCAAATTGAAATTATTCCAAGAATTCTTTGCATTCTTTATTTCGTCTGTTACAATTTTATTAATTCATTTCTCGTTATGCTTATTACTCTTTGTCAACACAAAAATTATTCAACGTGGATAATTATATTCTTGATAAAGAGAAGATTCTCTTTGTGGAAATTCGGTGTATTGTTATATAATATTTATTTGTGAATAAAGAAACAAAAATTGTTTACTTTATTTGAAATATATTATAAAACAGGAAATTTAAAATATATTAGAGTTAACTTTAGTACAAATATTTAATCAAAATGTTATGGAATATACTGAAGTAAATTTAATAAATTGTGTATAATATTGAAAAAAATTTTTTGATACAATTGCAGAAAAATGAGAAAAGAAGATGGAAATAGTGATTGATTTTGGATTTTTTAAAATTTATAAGTGTCATACAATTTTTCAGTGAAGTTTTCTTCTACAATATTTCTAAATTTTACAAATAAGTTACCAATAAAAATTTCCAATAAATACATTTTCTTGTATAATTTTTTTTAACGATGCAAATTTTGACAATAAATATTCGACGAAAAATTTTAAAATTTCAAAAGAGAAATTTAAAAATAACAATTTTCAATTTTTTTAATCTTTTATCTTGTAAACAAGATAATAATGATATAATGATAAGATATTTCTAAAACATAATATTGAAAAATATTAAAAGATTACTTATTATGAATTTGATTATAAAATATTTTTTAAAATATTTCTTTAGAATAATCTCAATATTTAGAATTTTATTTTTGACTGATTCATATATGAACTTTTAAATGAAATTAAATATTAATTCAGTAATTTTCCATTGAATTAAAGAATTAAAATTAATATATCAATAATTGCTTATATATACTAATTAAAAATTAGTCTTTCTACTTTTCAATCTATATATTGATAATGTCAATTTTCTCAAATGTTAAATTCATGTTAACCATAAAATATTTTCTTTTGGTTTGCACAGCTTCTTCAGCTGTGAAAAGGTTAAACGGAAGTTAATGTAGCGAACAAATGTGCCACTTTTCTATTCGCTTGACAATCGATAAATCTTAAAATGAAATAGTATCCGAAGTGTAAACTCGTTGGAGGATATTTTAAAATGACATCCAGATTGCTTCAGGCTATTAATTGTTCAATGTTGGAAACATCTTATCGTTAGTTTGTCCGATTTCTTCTTTACTTTACGTTATCACTGTTTCCGTTTCAGTGCTTGGCAGTTGTCGGAGCCAAGAGTGCGGACACGAAAGGTTGGTGAGATGCGGAAGGCCTTTCGAGAGAATCAACACCAACGACTTGAGCTTCGTGACGAAGAAGGAGGAACTTCAACAGTTATGCCCGTAAGTTTTTCAATTATCTTCTTTCGTATTATGTAAATAATAATTATAAGTTTACAAAAGAGCTTCGATTTTTAAATATCCTTTAGAAATTTTTCGATAATATTATAATATCATATTTTGAATTTTTCCTCATATTGACTGGTATATCTGGTATTTAAATAATTCCTTCAAAAGTGAAATATAAAACAATCTCTGAAATCAAAAATTACAACGATAATGATATCAGCTTTATATTTATTTAATTAGTATCTATTTTTGTAATATCGATTATTATGATTTCGATCGTTCAGGGATTATTTTATATTATCATAGATCTGTGGAATTTCCAAACTCTCTATGAATAGATAAAAAGATATATGATGGATAGATATTCATATGATATCAACTCATTATATTTGAAGTGTCAACCATCGTGATATATATTTGTATTAACAGAAGATAAATGGCGGTCACGTGCTTACATACATGTATGATGCTTACATCATGAAGTATAAATGAAATTATAATATATTAATAGCATTTTTTGAAAATTATGGAGCAAATTTTATACATATAGAAAAAAGTTGTTCAAAATCTTAATTTTTATAAGGTTTATAAAAATCACCGAAAATCTTTTTCCATATAATTATTAAAATAATTACTAGAAACAAAAAATGAAAAATAAAAAAACAATTTTTATAAATATATATTGGATATACATATTGTCGTGTATTTTTTATTTAATAATCATATAATAGAAAATTAAATGAAAATATTTTTGTTAAAATTCCTTATACGAAAGAAAGATTGAAATTTTCTCTTTGAGTAAGAAAACATAAAAATGAATGTTTTTTATATATTTTTTTTTATAATATTATATATAAAATGATTTTTTATATTCCGAATTTTAGATAACAAGGATAAAATGATACTTTATGTTTTATAGTAAAATTAAATTTACTATATTGTTAAATTAAAAAAACTAAAATAAATATTAATATCTTGAAAAATGATCTTTATTATATTTTATTTTATGTAAACTACAAATTTCCATAAGATATTGAATTATATATTCATGATATAAAGAAAATATTATCTACTTTGTATTTCAGTTAATTATTATTTAATAATCTAATCTTTCGTGAACAAACACATTTTTTGCACTTTCCGTGGATAATTTATGTCCATAATTATTTTTCTTATTGTTCTAGACTTTTAAAAACCGTTAAAAAATGGCGTATTCATTGAAATCTCTGTTTCATTATATAATATTTCATTCAATTAAATATGTAGAACTTTTATCAATAAAGTAAGGAATTCAAAAATGAAATTTTTCTCTGGGCACGAATGATAGAAATTGTTTACAGAGTTTAATTTTAATATTATTTTACGCGTATTTTTTATTTATTCCATTTAAAAAAAATTATTTCATAAAATAATATTCCAAAATTTTCTCTGTTTTATGAAATAATTTAAAACATTAATATATATTCATATAAATATTATTTATTCTGAATTGCAACGAGAAATATAAAATCTATCGTGGAAAATGTTCGTTAAAATTGAAATAATTATCATGCGTAAAAAATCCATGTATCCATGACGATTGAATATTTCGATCGAATTTATATTTTTCTGTTCATCTCCATATCTAAATTTTTTTCTTTCGATTGTATTGAGGGCAACTTTTTATTTAAAAAAAACTCACTAATCAAAAATTCAAATTTAATCATACAATAATTTTATTTATCCATTTCTTAAAATTTGTTCGATTGAAGAATGGCGGCCACTTCAGTCCTCGATCGCACTAATAATTAGATAAATCGAAGGAAATTTAATGCGATCTGAACTTTCAAACACCTATTCAAATTTATTGGTCTTGTTTGTTTATTTTTCCCGAATCGAATCAATCGAGAAACGAGTTTCAAAGATTGAAAGAGAATTCTAATAAACTAGTTTACTAATTTACTGAAAAGTTCGAGGGAACAGCCAACTCGAGATTTCTTTTGAGTTTTAAATAGCCTCTTAAGAGTTTCCAGTTAATCTTTTTTAAGTTTGATGATTAATCCTTTGCTGGAATAATTTTTAATTCCAGTATTGTGAGGAGGCTTCGTTAAATTAATTCTAGATAGATATTTGAAATTTGAAATATTTTATTATTAGAAGATATCAAATATCTTCTATTTATAAAAATGTAAATATTATTAGTAATTATCATGTATTATTAAAGATAAAATTATCGTTCATTAAAATAAAATATATAGCTCTGTGATAAATGGACATATTTCGTTGTTTTTTTTTTTTTGAGATATCTAGATTTTCATAAATAATAAAGTTCAAATATTGAATTTTATACAGAGTATGTTTCGATTTAATTTTTTACAAAAATAAACAAAATTCATGATACTTGGATTCAAATAATTATTTATCGGTTTTTTTTGACGATCGTTTAATTGAAAAACATTCATCGATAGATGGTAAATATTTTGATAAAAATTCAATAACAGTGCAATGCCTGGAGATATTTTTTGAAAATTTTGATCAGTGTTTAACTTTACAAAAAGCAAATTTTTTTTTTATTTCTTTTTTAATTTGTATTTACTATTTATATAAACTACACATATTAATATTACTTTTTATATTCATTATATTAATAACTTTTTATATTCACAAAAAATATTTTTATTTATTTATTTGATAATTTTAGAAATATATAATCTATTTATTTATAGAAGTTATAAAGTTATGGCATTGTATATCAAGTGATAAAAATTAAAAAGAAAATAAATTAATATGAATTTTTTAATAAATAAGTTTTCCTTCGTCGATTTCAAGTCATCAAAATTTTGTTATATCTTGAATATTGGTTTGCAAATAATTCTCTTTACTTTTAATTATTTTATTTATCGATCGTGTAAATTTCTCGTGAAATTGATTAACTTTAGTTAATAGACATTCGATTTCTTTCATCAAAAGGAAGTTATTAATTTTTTCTTAATAATTTGAAAGTTTCAATCGTTTGATATTTAAACAATTCAAATAATATTTTTAAAATTTATCGTGTTCTTCTACAATTTAAATTCAATAATTTTATGTTATAAATTGTGAATTTTAAAATTGGATTTTAATTTGGAAACATATAAAATTCTTTTGATTACTATTAAAAATAATTTTCATTTTTTTAACATAAAATTTATAATTATTATATATATATATATATATATATATATATATAATATTAACTATATTAACAAATTGTTCTTTCAATGATCTCAATTAAAAATTTTATTTCAATTATTTTATTATTATTTTTTTAAACGTTTAAAAATGGAATCGAAATTTGTAAAAGATAATTTACAAAACATAATATATTTCATCCATTTTGTCTATTGTGTAACTATTTTTCACTTATAAAAGATCTGAATACGTTTCAAATTTTTTTTGCCTAGTAAAAAGAGCAGTTAATTCGGATGGATAAAATTATATGGTTTTGTTCGTTAGAAGGTTCGTGCAGGTGCAGTTTCCACTAATATACGCGGAGAGTAAGTACAGGTACAAAAGGTTAGAGCTCGTTAAACCATTTGGCTTTTCTACTTTTATTTTATTTACTTATTTTTTTTTTTTTTCTACTTTTTGTCCAAAAACGAAAGGGATATGTATGTTTCTATGTTACGTGACTCATCCTCCGTAAAAGAATGGCTAACAAGTTAGTGGGAAACCATAATTCTCGAGAATGAGATACCTATCCACTTCGTGTGGACTTTAAAACTTTTCTAAAGAAGCATATTTTTTGCGAACACATGCGACAGACATGAAACTTTCTAGCGTTATATTTATTCATTAAAAGAGAAGCAGCAGCAGCAGCAGAAAGAAAGAGAGCAAGAGAGAGAGAGAGAGAGAGAGAGAGAGAGAGAGAGAGAGAAAGAGAGAGAAATTTATAGTTCTTTTTCTCTTGTAACTTTTGCTCGATCGTACAACTATGAAATTTGAAGAATCACATAAAAAAAGTTTGAACTTAAAGAAATATAATACGCTAGAATATTTTAGAACTTTTACAACTTTTTATACAATATTATATATAATATTATATATTATATAATATATATATATATTATACAATTCAATATAAAATTACTTTTTTTTTTTAGTAATATTAATCCTTAAAAGTTATTATCGTTGAAGAAAATTATATAAAAAATAATATTTCGTTTGAAATGGAATTTTACTAATGATATATATCAAATTCGATTAAATTGTTTCTCTTTTTTTTCCACTTTCCTTTCATCATAGATAGTTTTATAGATTACGTATATTTTATGCAAAAATTTAAAGCAATTTAAGTTATGAATCATATATATACATATCTTTCACAATCAAAAATTAAAAACTTATCAATTCCATCACTTGTTAATAAAATATATTTTGACGATAAAGAAAAAGAAATTGAATTTTCTTTTCTGAGCGATTTATATATAAGAATAAAATAGATACATATATATAAATGTTTTTAATTAATCAATAGATTATCATTCTTTACTTTTACTTTATTTAAATATAATTCAACGATGAAATTCATATAGAAAAACCAATCATTTTCATTTTTATATGTAAGTAAAACATTTCATTTATAAACAAATATTTCAAGATAGAAAGATAAAAAGAAATAATATCACTCACTGAATATCTTTTTCAAAATTAAATAATGCAAAATAATCCAACAAGTGATACGAAACCAAACCGTAACACGTTTTTTCTTCGTAAAATTAAAAGATTAACAATAAAAACGAGAAATAATAATAACTCGTAAATGGGAACAAGAACAAATATTATCATTTGCCCGTATACCACTTAACAAAACTTTTCGCCAATTTTCATGATGTTCATTCTGAATAGAATCATTTGAGCGTGCTATCGAAAATGCGACATACAGCGTTTACAGATTGATGCTAAGGCAGCGAAAACGAGATTCGAAAAGCGAATGGGTCAGGTTTTTACTCGGATAAATCGAGTTCACATCGATG